GTGCAGCTCTCCCTAGCCTCGTTCAGCGTCCTCGACTATATAATTAAAATACACAATTTCAGTTGCAAATGGCCAGAAGCAAGCGGCCAACTTTTCGCAGTGACTGCAGTTCCGTGTTACATTAGGGGCGGCTATTGTAAAACACATATTCAACTCATAAAGTCTAAATAGCCCTTTAAGAAAATTAATAAATTAATTCCCCCATAATAAAAGTTTCAGCTGCGACTACATATAATTAAAATACACAATTTCAGTTGCAAATGTTTGATCTGGTATACAAATATGATATAAAATTGTTGTTAAAAATTGTAATTATTCATTTGTCTACTATGAAGGATTGCGTTAAATTTAAGGTTACATAGAAAAATCTACTCCTTGTAATGTACGATTATTTTTCTCGTTCTAGTACATCCCATTGTTAATAAATCAAATCCGAGTTCGACCTTATTTGATGATTATCAGAATTATGCCGTTAATACATGTGCAGCATAATCATGTGATGTTTTAATTATAACTCTATGTGTGTTTTAACTGAATAAACAACATTCATCACTTATAAAAGCACGTAAAATCCGCGACCATAGGTCCATAAATTTTGGACATTCATGGTACATACACCAAAGCCGATGTACTGCACTCTCTCAGGCACGATCTCGGCATCCCAGATTTTCAAATAATCCCAAAGTTGTCCAAACTGCTGTCACGGCCAATTTTTCTTGCACTTTTTATTCTCCAGTCCTGCGTGTTCCTATGATCGGATAAATGTGAGGTTTCGCTATGTTTGAAGTTCCGCGCATCGTTTTTCAACAGGCGCTCGCTGACTAGACTCGGTCAACAGTCGCTTCTTGCACTTCACCTCCGGCAGTAGAGAAGCGACATTTTGTCCCGTGAACTTGCGTTAAAATTTCTAAAGCTTTGTATTTGTGAACGATGAATCCGTGATTGAGTTGAGTTACATTTCGATCGAAATATAATTATTAAGAGTAAATTGAATTTTTTCCACCTTTGAGCTGTATATGTAGTTGTTTATTGTCGTAATTTCAGTGTTGAGCGGTTGGGCTAGACCAGCATAATGTGAATGCATGTGTGCAATTACGAAAAGTTTTAAATACTCCTTTTGTTCTCGCCATGCTATGATGTGTTATGACTTAATTCCACCTATTGATAGATATATCATCAATTAAGATCAGAAAACGAACCTATGAGCTCTTTTTCTCAATATTAATGTTTGAATTGCGAAAACCCTTCTCATTTTTCAACCTAAATTGGTCACCTCAGTGTGCTCGTAAATTTTGACAACTGAGCGTACCAAGTTGATTTCACAGTCAATTTTGTGGTGCTAGACATCGGACAATTCTTCACACCTGTTCCGGCAAAGTACCAATCATAAATTCAAACACAAAATAATGTTCATCAATTTCAAGAAGCACTGCAGTCTTTTTGCCTCTTGCTTCTTGGCGACGTTTGTCTTGATCACCAAGCACTCCGTCACCGCACACCGGGAGCACAGTTCTTCGTCATGGCTGCCATCATCTGACCAGCAGTGGCAGTCAACGGGTGTGTTGGATCGTCACAAGCGACAGGTATAAATGCATTTTATAGAGAGGTATATATGTATTTTTATAGAGAGGTATAAATGTATTTTTATAGAGCGGTATAAATGTATTTTTATAGAGCGGTATAAATGTATTTTTATAGAGAGGTATAAATGTATTTTTATAGCGAGGTATAAATGTATTTTTATAGAGCGGTATAAATGTATTTTTATAGAGCGGTATAAATGTATTTTTATAGAGCGGTATAAATGTATTTTTTATAGACAGGTATAAGTGTATTTTTTATAATAATTAATTTTAAGAAAGTATTTATTAGTATAATCGTCAATTTATAAATAACTCATTATTATATTGTAATTAAATTAACTAATGCAGGGATAATAAATTATGCACAGCGCAAAGCAATGACCTAAGCTATTGCATCATCAAAACTTATTAGAAATACATCGAAAGCCAGTCTAATGAATACTTAGATGAACTAATAGTCACCATTACAAATTGACCTCACTTATATAACATAAGTATTTTCTGGTACTTCAATGGAAAAAATAATTGCGTTAAATTTAATTTTAATTACCATTGCTGGCTTCATTTTTTTATAGAATGATTGTTTAAAATCTATTCCCAATCTATTTAATAATCGCTGCATCCAAGAATTAACCGAAAGTGCAATTGTTAATGCGCAACATAACATAACATAACATAATATAACATAACATAGTGATGTCGGCGCTGAAGAGTAGGCCTGATGTGGCCTGTCGCCGATTCTTGAACTTTTCGTGACTTGTTCACTGAAGATCTAAAATCGTGTCATTTGACCGGATGACATAATAATCATTAATTGCAATAGAATACGTTGCAAACATGTTTAGAGATTTTAGTTCTTAATGCAGTTTCTCTATGAATTATTCATCTTCAATACACAAATGATTTTGTTCATAGTCGTGCACTTTCTTCTTAATATTCTTGTTTTTAGCGTTTAAACAATATGCGTTGATCAGCGTCAATGAACGAATAGTACAATAAAAATATAAATTCTTAATTAATATATGTTCAACATGCAATTAAATGCACAGTCTCTCATGATACAATATGCATGGCTCAGCGTCAACGAACGAATAGTACAATAATAATTTAAATTCCTAAGAAATATATTTTCGATGTCTAAGTAAATGCATAGTCTCTCAATACAGGTAATATCAAAATAGGCATATGTTACACATGAATCGTTATTATATCTCTGGAGTTTAACTATTATTCTGCGTTTTCCAAACTTTTTGCGATCGGGTACTGCTCGGAAGTTCGGTCAGGACGTGCCACAAAGTAAATAAATAAATAAATAGAGGTTTCAGCGTTTATTAGGCCGTAGGCCTGTCGCCGATTCTTAACATCGCAGAACATTCACAGCATTTTGAGGTCTCGAACTCGCAACTCACTGCTACAATTCTGCTTTGCTTAACCGCCCGGCCTCCTTGCCGATTCTGACCAGAAACTGGCGCACAGAGCTGGGATCGAACCCGCGC